GAATTCAGTATATGAATGATTTAAAATAAACTTAAAGCCTTTGAATTAAGCTATTGAATTAATTCCTGAGAATTAAAATAAGGATTGGAAGATTACATTTTATATTTCTGAATTAAGATTTTGGTGAATTAAGCTCAAATTGAATTGATTAATTCGAAGCTCTGATTTATGTGTTCGTTGAATTCTGGTTCACCGTGGATAGTGTACGGAAAAGAAAAAAATGGTTCCAGTTGTAATGGTGTCGAATGTAATACTGTTACTACAGATGATTTGTTTGCAGGTGAGTTTAGTAGACTAATAATAATATCCGAGGAAAATTTTAATTAGTTAAACAACTATGTACGTAAAATTCATAATTATTCTGACTCACCTTTAATCTGTTAAAATATTTTTGTACAGGATGTAGGTATGAAACCAGCAGCTAACTATCCATTCTCCTTCTCTCAATCTATATATAAAAGGCTTGCGTGACTGATTGACTGACTGATTCATCATCGCCCAGCCCAAACCGTTAAAGCTAGAATCATGAAATTTTGGTTATAGGTTCCTTTGGCATTGTATAGATCCACTAAGAAGGGATTACGTTTAGGGGAAGAAATGGGTAAAAAAGGATAAAATTAGTATCCTTTATATCTCCTAAAGAAGCAAAGATATAAATAAAATTCCAAATGTATCCTCTATTATACAAAAAAATAATTGATAGGTGTCTGGTACTTTTTTTAAAAATCTAGACTTTATAGAGCTAAAAGGGTAAAAACTGTCCCCATAGAACCTTCTCTTAACCTATTTATGTTCGAAACAAATGACCATGCAAATAAAACTTTAAAATTATCCTATTATAATTAAAGTCTATTAGAAATCCTTTCGGTACTTTTTAAAAATTCGGGTAATGAAGGGATGAAAACGGTGTCTAAAATTAGCTTGCTGCCCGCTACTTCGTTAGCGATAAATTTTTGGCATTAATAAAATTTTGAAAACAACACATTAAACGATTTTTTAATTAATATGGAATATACATATGTAAATAATTTTCACATATGTAATTACTGAAGTTTTGTATTCTCAAAATATCATACAATTTATTAAACTTATTTTTATCACTTCATATCACCTTTTACTCTAATTTAAATAAATTCATTTTCATCAACATCCGAGATTTTGGATTAACAGGACAGAGCTACGTGCAACTTTGTGGCTTTGCCTCCGTAAAAAATACATAACTAAAACGGCCCTAACTAAAAAAAATTCAAAATCGACATTTTCATTTTCTGATGTATTACATCAAGCCAAATGTTCAAAAGGGCTCTATCTTCAAAAGCAGTTTTATATAAAGGCTAAAAGACGTAACTAATCATTTGTAAATACAAATTGTAAATTGTCAAAACAACTGAGAAATTTACCGTTAAAAAATGTCTTTTGAAGAAAAACAAATCGCGCTGATTGAAACTAAACTTTCCATTTTAAATAGTTTTTTGCTTCTCCTGTAGAATTTAAAAAATGTTAAATAGGAATTTTTGCGTTTTATGTGACGATATATGTATAAAAACAAATTATATTGTTTCTATCATACAACTACTTTAGAAATCTCCAAAATTACCGGATGAGGAACGAAAAGGTAAAAATTATTCCCTTTGTGCAGATTTCCATTCAACTGGAACCCTGCGTGTTTAATTTTATGCCTCTAAGTCCAATTATATAGAAAAATCAGAAAGTAGAGCGAAAAAGTACCAAAAGTCCCTTCCCATAGGTTTCCATTCACTCCATATTTTATGTTTCTACGAAAACGAAACAAAAAAGAACCAAAAAACACTTATTTTTAAGAAAACTCAAAAAGTACCAGCTGAAGAACATTCATACAGATTTCCATGAACAGAAACCTGCGTGTTTAATTTTATGTTTCTGACCAATATTATTGAAAAGCTAAAAAAACACCCTTTGAAAAACTACAAAGTACCCAAAAAGTCCTCTTATATTAAAGAAAACATAAAAGGTATTCGTTGAAGAACGAAAAAGTAGTAAAAGATCGCATTTAGATACTCACACACTGTGGACCCTTCATGTTCAATTTCATGTTTCTAGGTTCAATATTATAGAAAATTCAAAAAGTACCTTTTGAAGAACACTTTATCGTTCCATGTTGTATATTCTTTACGTTTCTTAAACGTTTAATTAATAACAGTAAAAGATCGAAAAAGTAACCAAAAGTATAATGCCTTTAGGAAGGCCTCTTTACTGCCACTTTTTCCCGCTGCGAACTGCTGGCTGCCATGTTACCGCCAACTGCTATTGAAACTAAATTAACCTTTGTCATCTCGTATTCATTTAATCCGGATTATCTACATGGCGTTGCTCTTGCGGAATGGGCTAATGGACTGTTAAAGTTTCATTTTTTGCTTTAAATGTGACATATGTAGATCTTCTTGATATTCTGTAAGTAATAATCATATGTATTTTCAAAAACCTTTTATTTGGGAAAATATACTAGAGATCAGGATGCACTAAGTTATTACATCATGCTAGAGATGTTTAGTTTTATTTTAAATGATTGTGTTAAATGTAAACATTAGAGGATAAATACTTGTTGACTTCCAAAATTTTCCTTGTTATTTATCTACCTTTGGGGGTATAGTAATAGCTTTTTGTTATTGTTTTGAAAACGACTGCTAAAGTTGAAAAAACAAACTGGACAAATTATTCTGCCATGAAATAATCCATAATAGAAAAGAGTTGACGCCCACCGGTAGTGGCTAGTCGAAATTCGTATTCTATCAAGCAAAGAGCCAAAATATGGTGATTGCTACTTTGTTGCAATGTTTGGTTCCGGTACTAACCATTGTGGGCTTTATGTCGACTATAGATCCCTTAGAGTTGTCACACTATATGAATCATTTAAATGAACCCTTCAAAGATTTATCGCGTCATAATATAAAAGAAGAAAAACAACGTTTATTTGAAGGTATTCCTTCCGATCACTTGATATTCTTGCGTCTGTATCAAGAATGGAAAAATAACTTTAGAAATGAGGAATTGGTTTTTGATTTTAATATAATTTCATTTTGAATGGCCTGTTGGAACAGGACTGCAATATCCGTACTCAATTGGTTGGATCCTTAAGATCATCACAATTAATATATAGCAAAGTTGATCTTAGTATGCATTATATAAATCTCAAATCGAATTGTTCTGTCATTAAAGCCGCCCTTGTTGGTGTGATGTATCCTAATATATACGTATTGGATTCTAAGGTTAATCGTATTAAATCGCCCTGCAGAAGAGAAATGGTTTTACATCCAAATTTTGTTTTGCGACATAGGATTTATGTCAAAGGTTTAAAATTGTTAAGCCTTAATTCAATTTATTAAATCAAATTAAAATTTATTACTTCACCATTCTATAAAATCATTCATTCGAATTAATTCATAAGCTGAATTCCTTAGGATTTTAAAAATGTTGAATTCATTACTTGTATAATTCATTCTTTAAAGGCTTAATTCCTTGCTGAATGATTTAAATTTTTTCGAATTCAAATCTATTACAAAATAGCTTTAATCGTTTTTTCTTCATTCATTTTGTAGGGGATTAATGAAAATTTTTTAAATAAAAATGTATATACATTAGGGGGTCTTTTGTTTTTAGTTTTTAATTTTATTAATTTTAATTTTATTTTATTTTCAGCTAATTAAATATGCACAATATTATATAAATAAGCACTATATTATAGATGAAATTAAAGTAAAATAAATATAACCCCTATTTAATTTTACATAAATGACAAATCTTGTTCGAAGCATATTATTTATAAAGTTTTTTAAACGTTATTTTTGTGCGTCTTTTAATAATATTTTCCAAATATAACTTCCATTCGAAAAAAGTTTGAACATATACATACGTATAAACAGAATTATAAATATTTCAAATTTGAAATAAATTTTAAATTATTTTTCAAATTAAAGATTATTTTTCCAAAATAATTGCTATCATGAGTGAATTAGAATTTTCATCTAATATGTAGATCAACCATTGATAAAAATTATGCGGTTCCTAGGCAAAAGGGAACAAGAAAGGTTTATACGAAACCAAATATAACAAATGATATATTATTTAAGAACTATTTTCAAATTAAACATTTATTTGAACAATCCTAATATACACATGCTTTAATATTTGTCATATAAATTATAATTTATTTGTTTGTAATTCAAATTTTCAAATGTACTATGTATTGAATATGGATGGAATGTAAGTTTTCATTACAGAAATTCTGATTAGCGGATAAATCCTTATGCTGCAGTAAATACAATAAAATACTTAAATACTATGATTAATCAGAGTTCCTATAGTTAAAAAGTATATTATTCAGAAGGAAAATCTAGCACTATAAAAGGCGTTCATTGGCTGATTCTTTTGTGTTAGGGACCGATTCTGTTTTAAGCAAACATCAACGGACTTGTTATGTTTTACGATCATAAACTCATGGTCACATACTATGTATGTATGTTTGTTTGTATATTGTACATAAATGTTATGTATCTTTATTTGCAGCAATAATGTTATAACTTAAAAATAGAAAAATGTTCTTGTGCACAGAATTTGTGTTTATTATTAGTCAGAATTATCATTCTTATTATACAAACTTACAAATATCAGCTGTAAAATTAGTTATTTAAAACTTATACGCATACACTCTTTTATATAGAGATAAAAAACTTAAAATTTTAAAAACCTTGAAAGTTGAAATTTTAGTTTTTGAGATACAACACTCTGGCTGCAAACGAAAGCGTTTTCATTCAGTCTACTACAAATTGAATTTAAGAAAAATTTCGTAATTCAATTTGGAGTAGATTTGAATTAAAGAAAAATTGAATCATTCAAAGCGAAATGTAATTCAAACATGAATGAATTCAGTATATGAATGATTTAAAATAAACTTAAAGCCTTTGAATTAAGCTATTGAATTAATTCCTGAGAATTAAAATAAGGATTGGAAGAAAAAAATGGTTCCAGTTGTAATGGTGTCGAATGTAATACTGTTACTACAGATGATTTGTTTGCAGGTGAGTTTAGTAGACTAATAATAATATCCGAGGAAAATTTTAATTAGTTAAACAACTATGTACGTAAAATTCATAATTATTCTGACTCACCTTTAATCTGTTAAAATATTTTTGTACAGGATGTAGGTATGAAACCAGCAGCTAACTATCCATTCTCCTTCTCTCAATCTATATATAAAAGGCTTGCGTGACTGATTGACTGACTGATTCATCATCGCCCAGCCCAAACCGTTAAAGCTAGAATCATGAAATTTTGGTTATAGGTTCCTTTGGCATTGTATAGATCCACTAAGAAGGGATTACGTTTATGGGAAGAAATGGGTAAAAAAGGATAAAATTAGTATCCTTTATATCTCCTAAAGAAGCAAAGATATAAATAAAATTCCAAATGTATCCTCTATTATACAAAAAAATAATTGATAGGTGTCTGGTACTTTTTTTAAAAATCTAGACTTTATAGAGCTAAAAGGGTAAAAACTGTCCCCATAGAATCTTCTCTTAACCTATTTATGTTCGAAACAAATGACCATGCAAATAAAACTTTAAAATTATCCTATTATAATTAAAGTCTATTAGAAATCCTTTCGGTACTTTTTAGAAATTCGGGTAACGAAGGGATGAAAACGGTGTCTAAAATTGGCTTGCTGCCCGCTACTTCGTTAGCGATAAATTTTTGGCATTAATTAAATTTTGAAAACAACACATTAAACGATTTTTTAATTAATATGGAATATACATATGTAAATAATTTTCACATATGTAATTACTGAAGTTTTGTATTCTCAAAATATCATACAATTTATTAAACTTATTTTTATCACTTCATATCACCTTTTTACTCTAATTTAAATAAATTCATTTTCATCAACATCCGAGATTTTGGATTAACAGGACAGAGCTACGTGCAACTTTGTGGCTTTGCCTCCGTAAAAAATACATAACTAAAACGGCCCTAACTAAAAAAAATTCAAAATCGACATTTTCATTTTCTGATGTATTACATCAAGCCAAATGTTCAAAAGGGCCCTATCTTCAAAAGCAGTTTTATATAAAGGCTAAAAGACGTAACTAATCATTTGTAAATACAAATTGTAAATTGTCAAAACAACTGAGAAATTTACCGTTAAAAAATGTCTTTTGAAGAAAAAAAAATCGCGCTGATTGAAACTAAACTTTCCATTTTAAATAGTTTTTTGCTTCTCCTGTAGAATTTAAAAAATGTTAAATAGGGATTTTTGCGTTTTATGTGACGATATATGTATAAAAACAAATTATATTGTTTCTATCATACAACTACTTTAGAAATCTCCAAAATTACCGGATGAGGAACGAAAAGGTAAAAATTATTCCCTTTGTGCAGATTTCCATTCAACTGGAACCCTGCGTGTTTAATTTTATGCCTCTAAGTCCAATTATATAGAAAAATCAGAAAGTAGAGCGAAAAAGTACCAAAAGTCCCTTCCCATAGGTTTCCATTCACTCCATATTTTATGTTTCTACGAAAACGAAACAAAAAAGAACCAAAAAACACTTATTTTTTAATTTATATTTCAATATTATAGAAAACTCAAAAAGTACCAGCTGAAGAACATTCATACAGATTTCCATGAACAGAAACCTGCGTGTTTAATTTTATGTTTCTGACCAATATTATTGAAAAGCTAAAAAAACACCCTTTGAAAAACTACAAAGTACCCAAAAAGTCCTCTTATATTAAAGAAAACATAAAAGGTATTCGTTGAAGAACGAAAAAGTAGTAAAAGATCGCATTTAGATACTCACACACTGTGGACCCTTCATGTTCAATTTCATGTTTCTAGGTTCAATATTATAGAAAATTCAAAAAGTACCTTTTGAAGAACACTTTATCGTTCCATGTTGTATATTCTTTACGTTTTTTAAACGTTTAATTAATAACAGTAAAAGATCGAAAAAGTAACCAAAAGTATAATGCCTTTAGGAGCCTCTTTACTGCCACTTTTTCCCGCTGCGAACTGCTGGCTGCCATGTTACCGCCAACTGCTATTGAAACTAAATTAACCTTTGTCATCTCGTATTCATTTAATCCGGATTATCTACATGGCGTTGCTCTTGCGGAATGGGCTAATGGACTGTTAAAGTTTCATTTTTTGCTTTAAATGTGACATATGTAGATCTTCTTGATATTCTGTAAGTAATAATCATATGTATTTTCAAAAACCTTTTATTTGGGAAAATATACTAGAGATCAGGATGCACTAAGTTATTACATCATGCTAGAGATGTTTAGTTTTATTTTAAATGATTGTGTTAAATGTAAACATTAGAGGATAAATACTTGTTGACTTCCAAAATTTTCCTTGTTATTTATCTACCTTTGGGGGTATAGTAATAGCTTTTTGTTATTGTTTTGAAAACGACTGCTAAAGTTGAAAAAACAAATTGGACAAATTATTCTGCCATGAAATAATCCATAATAGAAAAAAGTTGACGCCCATCGGTAGTGGCTAGTCGAAATTCGTATTCTATCAAGCAAAGAGCCAAAATATGGTGATTGCTACTTTGTTGCAATGTTTGGTTCCGGTACTAACCATTGTGGGCTTTATGTCGACTATAGATCCCTTAGAGTTGTCACACTATGTTAGGTCACCGTATAATAATTACTAACATTATTATTTTGTTTTGTTTAAATTTTTTATTGTATTTAAATTTATTCATATTTTTGGCTCACTGTTGCCACTGTAATTTGTCATTATTTTTTGTTCATACTAACCACTGTACATATTTTTGGTAATGACCCGTTAGTTTTTATTATTTGTTTCTCACTCCAATTCTTATTATAAGCATATTGTTGTTGCTCTTAAAAATGCAATTTCTTATTTTGGAGACTTATTGCATGTATTTTGTTTTTGCATATTTTTAATATAAATAAACAAGTTGAGTTGGTACATTGGAAGTGAGAAACAAATAATATTACAATAACAACAGTGTAGCCCTTATTTACATGATCAATTGTTAGGCTTAAGAAAGGAATTTTTAAATAAATAAATCATTGTCATAGTTGAATTCAATCGAACAACATCATCTTTTATTCTTGTCTCGGTACCACGGTAGTTCTTTTGTGTTTGTTAATTAATCACTGCCCATCGAACATTTCAGCAACCTATAGACAACAATTCAAAGTAGACCGAATTGCTCTATATCGTTGCCGGTGAAGAAAAAGCTCTTCATCGTACATTTTTGGCGCCCAACGTGGGGCAAGTGATTAATCTAAATCTTCCTAAATTTGTCGTTCTCGGTCCGTGGTATATTCTAAAAACTTTTCGTTGTAGTACAACTTAAAGAAAAAGTGTACGGTCATATTGTGAAGTGGAAACAGTGGTTCTATTACAAGGGCAATATCTAGTGCTACAAAAAGAAAAATAAAAAACTTTGTGGTTCAATAAAAAAAAAACCTGTGCAACAAAAAAAAATTTATAAATCATTTAAAAAAAACTAGACAGTGCAACATATAACAAAAAAAAAACTGTTAAACAAATTTGTAGTGACGTACCTACTACAAATCTATTTTTTTTAAATACCTATTACAAACATTATACAAATTTTGTCGGCTCGCTAAATAGAATCAGTTTTTGTCGAAAAATAAAATAAATAAAAGTGACTCTAAAATTTTACCGCAAATTTTTATGTACAAAAATAAATAAACTTTGTTCGCTCGTAATTCGGGTTAAATAAATTTACCGCTAATCTTTATATACAAGAAAATACATAAATTTGTTCGCTTTTGGTTCCAGTACATAATATAGAATTTTGTGTATACTAAATTTGTCGCTCGGAATATTGCGGTACATATTTATATAGAGAGTGAATAAATACATAAAGTTTGTATATAAACACTTTTGGCGTCGGTGCTCTACAATACATAGTATCATCCATTTTGAAATTTGTTTTTGGAAATTTTTGGCTCACTTAACCAAACTTTTGGAAATTTATGATGACTTTGGAAGAGGTTAAGCAGCAACGGGCTAATACGAAGAAGAGTATTACCCGCATCAAGAACCAAATCGAAGCCAATGGAAGGGGTGAAGGTAAGACACTTTCGTCTGCTGAGTTGAAGTGCCGTTTGGGGATACTGGAGTCATATTTTAAACAGATATTGACGTATCAAACACAAATTGAAAAATATGATCCCGAGGATAATGCTAGGCCCGAAATTGAAGATTTGTACATCTCAGCCAAAATGAATATCCAGTCGCAGCTTGGTGAAGATGTTCATAACACAACGTTGTCCGAGTCCACCATTTGTTTCCCAGCTCCCATCCATAAATTGCCCCAACTCAAATTGCCCACATTTAGTGGTAAGTACAGTGAATACAAGAATTTTATAACGTCGTTCAATCAAGTTATCGATCGTGAGTTTGGCCTATCAAATATTGAAAAGTTTAATCATTTGCTCAACTGCCTCCAAGGCCAAGCTCTAGAAACGGTCAAGGCTTTCCAGATTACGAACGAAAATTACCCGAAGGCTCTGGAAAGGCTCAAAACGCGTTATGATAATAGCTCGCTTATTTTTATGGAAAATATTACCGCCCTTTTTGAACTTCCTGCCATGTCCAAATACAATTGTGCCCAATTACGAAGTCTCGTCGATAATGTTTCTGCCCTTTATAGTTCCTTACTGTCTCTTGGCTCACATAGTGATATTGCTAATTCCATGCTGATTTACATAGTGATGGAAAAAGTGGATGAAGATACCAGAAGAAAGTGGAAAGATTCCTTGGACTTTACCAGATTGCCAACATGGGATGATTGCTCCAAGGTCCTTGAAAGGCGTTGTCAATTTTTGGAATCGGTTGATACCAACCATACTTTTGTGGCCCCTCGTAAGCCTGATCATCAATCTGGTAAGTCCAAATCTAAAAATTCAAAACCTGGCTATACTTTTTCGGTATCAAAACGCTCTTGTGTGCTTTGCTCCAAATCTGACCACTCAATTAGTCGTTGTTCTCGGTTCAAAGATATGGATGTTAGTCAAAGGTATGAAAATGCAAAACGTCTAAGCCTTTGTCTAAATTGTTTGTCCAAAGGGCATCAAGTAAGTAGTTGTTCCTTCACATTCAAGTGCAAATTTTGTTCTCGCTCGCATCATAGTTTGCTTCATCGGTCTCAGCCAGCTTCTCGGCCCTCGTCCCCTGCTGCTGAACCTACTACTTCTCATGTTGCCTTGAATGAATCTTCTGCCTCGGTCCATACCCATATGGAAAAATCCTCGCCGGAACAGGTGCTGCTTGCTACTGCCATGGTTCTAGTTCGTGACTCCACTGGTCGCTATCAATTGGGACGCGCTTTGTTAGATTCTTGCTCTCAATTGAATTTCATAACCGATGAATTTTCCCAAAAATTACATTTGTCTCGTACAAAACAAACTACTGAAGTCTCTAGCATTGCACAGTGGGGCAGAATGGAAATTTTTTGGAAATAAATCTGGCATTTCTAAACGGCTGATCCGATCGGGATAAAATTTGGCATGAGCGTAGCCAAGGAGTATTCGAGTTTAAGTTTTGAAGATGAACCCCCCAGATGCCCCAGGGACGGAGCTGTGGCGGCTCAAACTAGGGTACCTACGACATGTAAAATTTTTAAACTCGTGCCATACTACTTATCTCTTATAATATCCGAGTTATAGGCATTTAAAAATTTAGTGATACAAAATTTACCATACCTTGGTCCGCCTTTTTTTGAATACCGGGCGTAATTTTGGACCAAATGGACTCAATTTTTTCTTGTTAGTTAGACAATAAAATTTCCAATAATATACAAAAAAATTCAGATAAATATCATTTACAGATCCAAAAATATACGTTTTTTAATTTAAAAATTCCAAAAAAGTTAGATTTTTGCCGTTTTTTTGCCCAAAATGTGTCTTAACTCTTTTATTAATAAAATAAAATTTTCTTTATGAACATATAACAATTTTATAGTTTTCTAAAAAGAATCTTTACGCAGAACGCTTTGGCGTAAAAAACTTGTCCTATTTTTTGAAAATGTTGCCACTGCGTCCTTCCGAATATGACCTATTTTTTATCAAAACTTCAACTTTGGGCGACATGTTCTAAAATCCCAAAGCTGGGATCAGAAAACTGAAAGCAGTTTTGGAAACCTCAATATGTTTTCTATTTACTCCAAAAGTATTTTCCCAGCCCTGAAAGAAATGTGGACTCTATGGGCAAAAATGTAAAAAATCCCATTTTTGGGATTTTCATTCCTATTTTTGGGAATTGCGGGATGCCCTTTGACCTTTTCAATTTTGTTTTTGCATTTTCTTATTTGAGATGACAAATTTAACAAGCATTGAAGATTTCATTGAGTTTTGTTCATAAATAAAGATTTTGTCATATATTACATATTTGTTAAATTTCTAAAACTATGATTTATATCAAAATTTTAATAGGGTCGCAGATAGCTACAACAATTTAGTCCATATTTATCCCTTAATATCTTTTTTTAGTTAGATATGGAAATTCTCGACCCTTTACAAAAAATTTCAAGCCAATATCTCAATTACATTCAAAAATATGTTCATTTAAACCTGTGTCCTTTAATTTCATCTTTTTCATATTTTAGTATTAAGTATGACAGAACATACATTTGATGTTGAATAAAATATTTGGACAATTTTTAAAAATTATTTAGTTAATTATTTTATTAAGGACTATAACATTGTATATACAATAAAAAAATTTATTATGAGCCACGCACAACAACACCTAAACGCCACGCACAACAACACCTAAATTTAGTTAATTATTTTATTTAGTTAATTATTTTATTAAGGACTATAACATTGTATATACAATAAAAAAATTTATTATGAGCCACGCACAACAACACCTAAATAGTTTCTCAGATATACTTTTTATACCCTTCACCTTCGTGAGAAGGGTATATATAAGTTTGTTATTCCGTTTGTAATTTCTATAATATAATTTTCCGACCCTATAAAGTATATATATTCCGAGTCCTTATAGACAGCGTAGTCGATTTAGCAATGTCCTTCTGTCTGTCTGTCCGTCTGTCTGTATGTTTGTTGAAATCAATTTTCTGAAGACCCCAGATATCTTCGGGAATGAAAATCTGCAAAATCGGTCCATAAATAACGGAGATATGAGCAAAAATCCGAGACAACCTCTGAAAATTTCATCAAAAAAGCAACAACAACATTATGATAATTTTTTGCATGCTGGTGCAACAATACAATAACAACGTTGTGTTTGCTTGTGAATACGTTGCGTTCGCTTGTTAACGATTGAAAACAAAAACAACGTTTATCAAATGTTTTTGTAGTTTAGATTTTATTTTTTGTCACCAGAGGCGTTTTGCAATTTATGAATAAAATTGTTATTATATAAGATTCGGCACAGCCGAATATAGCACTCTTACTTGTTTTGTATTAAATTCATATGAGAGGTTCTAAGCCCCCTTATGAAAGTCCGCCAATTTTTCCCCAAAATTTTCACATGGATGTTAAAGTTCTTCATACAATAATTTAAGATTCTATCTCTACATACATACATACATACATACCAATGCAAATTGAAAGTTTGAACAAATTCTGGTTTCTATCCGTATCACTAACGTGTTGATATCTTGGATTATACAATGTCCAAAAATTCCATTCATGTATCGCCATTTCAACATTTTGCCGTACGATAAAACAAATATTAAACTCATTGCAATTTTTTTTTTTTAATTTAACAGACGTACTAACATAGGGTTCTGCATGCAACTGGACCTAAACAGTCATCACTATTTATCCTATGATTTGAAAGGAAATGTTTGTAAATGTCGCCTATTTTATGCAAAATGTTTGAAAATTATATTTTAATAATTTTAAAAATTGATATTTTCCAACACATGTCAAATAAAAATCAGTCTGCAAGTGGCAACTACTTCTAGTACTAGTATTTTTCCATAAGAACTCTAACTCTGTTTGTACTAGTGTCTGCTGTTCTAGTAATAGCACTAGTGGCTTTTAGACAATTGTCGCTTCATTTCCTGCAGGGATATAATAACTATAATAAAATAATTCAAAATATGTACGAAAATTTTGATTCGACGCTTCACCACTAAAAACCAAATTAATAAAACTTACCTACGATCATAATACAGAATACACACAATCGTAAATGATTGAAACGAAATAATATTGCTTCTATTTTGGAAAATCTTTTTGCGAATTGAATGCGAAAAAGTAATTGATATGCAGAATAGAGGTTATTAATTAGTTATGGATTATTATGAGTAGGGTAATTGCTCATACTTACGTAAGAGAACATCCATTACTTTGTTGTAACTATACAGTCTCTTCTTGTTGTGAGTTCCGTGAAGATTATAACTGAGGATTAAGTGTAGGCTTAAAATACATTTTTTTCTTATACCTCCTTTTCCCAGTAAACATTTAACTGCATGAATCTAAATTAATATATCTTCATTATTTTATTGTATAAATTTTTAACAATGAATAAAAATTACTATTCCACATTTGTTATCATTGTCAATGGCATTTTCCCACTCCTTCAATTCATCTTCGGAGTCTATTGGAAAACGCTGAAGATGTTTTGGGTTTTGCCAGAGTGATGTAATAATAGATTTAAATGCAATTGTTTGTTCTGCCAAAATGTTACTCACATTAACATTTTGATTTGATAGTTTGTCTAAAAAAGGAAAATTGTAGAAATTTATCAAATTAAATTTTAAAATATAAAAATAATATTTAATTTACCTAAAAGAAGATTTTGCTGCGTAGAATCATTGTTATTGTTTTGAAGTATATGAGCTAAATAAATAAAAAAACGTTAATATTTCCAAAAACAAAGTAGATTTGTTTAAAAATTATAGATAGTATACAAAAAAATCTTATACTTACTTTCAATTTCTTTAAAATCTTCTTGAATAGTTTCTATTTTTGTTAATATGGCCATCAACGTGCTGTCAAGCTTTTGTTTTTTTTTGGTTGCGACATTTTGGTGAAGTTATTTGATGCAATCTTGTGGTTCTGGAATTAATACGCACCCGTTAATGTACGGAAGCTCGACAATTTTTCAAAAATGTCTTTTATATAAAATGTTGTTCTTGTAGAAAATTCATTTTTTGCAAAAGCAATGTTGTGATCCATAGAATCAAACATTAGTGTTCTCAAAACGTATTGAAAATTATGAAAATTGGACCATAATGCAAAAACTTCTTACTCAGCTAGTAATTTTAGTAATTTTTTGATATGTTTTTTTAAAAATTAAAAATAAATTTCGAAAATATTATTGACATTTTATTCCAGAAGTGCAAACTTACGAAACTGAATTTTAATTAAAAAATAACTAAAATTGTAAATAACTCAGGACTTAACGGCCTAAATAAAGAAATCCATATAGGTTAATTTTTTATTATAAAAAATAATCCACATTTTAAATATACTCATATTAGTGTAGGATATCATATGGTCGGCCTTAACCTTAGCTTATTGGCAAAATAATAATTCTCTTTCTGTAGTTACTTTGAAAAAAAGATGGTGGACCGGTTTGTATTTAGGAAAAATATGGTATCAATGTTTACAACAAAGTTATTGACAAAAAAATGATTTTCTGTAAGACTAGTTAGGTTAGGCCAATTATGGACTGATCATCAAGAAAATTTGCAGACTGAATTTTGTTGTTATAAAGTGGTTTATGTCAGCTTCCATCATTATGTTAGTGTGTTTAAGTCAATTGTGATGTTAGACATTTTCTGATGAGGATCTTATATAGGGGAAACTCCCCTTCAAGAACAATGACAATCATTTGACCGGCCATTTTACTGAGACTTTTAATGAATATATTCATCATTGAGTATAACAAAGTTTCTATCATGTTCTTAAAGGCAATATGAAAAACTAGGAAGCTTTGTGTACTTGAGACTTTGCAACGATAACGGTTTTCATCTGTGTTTAGGTCATTAATTTCTTCTCTAAAATAAACAAATAACCACAACTTCAACTTTTTAACTGCACCTGTTTCGACCGTATCGTGATTTCAAGAGAAGGATATGTCGTTATATTACAAACGTAATGACAAAGACGATATATTTTTCGGTGGTGGATATAAAAATAAAATATTAATAAAAACATATAATTTAAAATCCTCCATTTTAAAAATTAACTTTAGTATTTATATACAAAAAGTTCATACTTACTATAGTTTTTTCACCAAAGAACTCCAGTTAATCCACAAAGTAGTTTTCAGTTTTATTATTATTATCAAATAATCTCACTTCTTTTTTATTTTTTTGTTTTTAATAAACTTAAATTTTAAAATTTTCCACTTGCGCGTTTTCTGTTGAACTTTTTATTATACCCTACACCACTTTAGTGGGAAGGGTATATTGGATTTGTGCTGATGTTTGTAACATACAAAAATATGTCCATGTAAACCTTGTGCGCAAGGTACAGGTCGCAATTTTCAAGATAATTGGATAAAATTTGGCACGCACGTTTTATTTGACCTAAGGACGAAGCCTATTGAAAATGGTTAAAATCGGTCCATTATTTCACCTAGCCCCCATTCAACAGAACCCCCGAAAAGGGCTTCTGAGCTCATAATTATGTTAAATATACAGATATATCGATAAATATGGCACAACTAAGTTTTATATAAGTCTTGATGACCCTGCCAAATTTCATAAAGATCGGACCACATTTGACCCTAGCTCCCATACAAAGTCCCCTTCAGAAAATTACTTGAATGTCCCAAATTATCTTATAAACACAAATATCGCGATGAAATTCAGCACAATAAAATATTATGTCAATATATTCACAAAATTTTATCGGGCTTGGTCCATATTTGCCCCTAGCCCCCATATAAAGCCTCTTTCAGAAAATTAGTTTTTCATCCATAAATTGCTTAAATGTATCGGAACAAGGGAATATTGAAGATAAATGCTTTATTATGAAAAATAAATCACATTTAATATTCATAATTGGTGTAGGTCGGCCACGCCCGACTATAATTTCTTACTTGTTTTTATATGTAATCGGTAGTTTTGTAAAATCAATGAATACTAAGTACTAAGTATTCAATAATGTCTACGTTATATAAAATAAAAAGTTACAATGATTATTAGCGGTTTGAAAATCGCAGATAATTGTTATAAAAATCCATATTTTATAACTATGTAAATTAGTATTTGTGTGTGTTCTGACTTCAAATTCACATGAAACACACTTCAAATTCACACGAAATCAAGATTTCACAAGCATTTAAAAATGTTTTGTTCCCCTTTTCACCTAGATGGTTTTAAACAAGTTTTGCATCTTTCGAAGCAAATTTTTATGTTCTGAAGTGACATAGATAACGAAAAGATTTTTTCAGAATTCAAAAGCCAGAACATACACAATAAGGATTTTAAAAATTGTCTTTAAAATAATCGAAGAATCGACTTTTTGTCGGAAAAACTCGAAAAGTCAAAGTCGACTTTTTGTCCTAACAAAGTCGATAAGTCTTGTAAGAAAAAAGTCGAAGATTTGATTTCGCAAATAAATGTCGGAAAAAAGGCGAAAAGTCGGGGAAAAAATGAAATAAGCTCGAAAAGTGGACTTTTCATAAAACACAAAAAATATTAAAAGTCGACTTTTTGTTTCAACTATAGATGCCTATACACAACTATACACAATATAAAGCTTTTAAAAATGTATGTATATTTGAATAAATATATTTTATATAAATACTTTAATATCCAAGGGTGATTACACATATGTATCTTTTAATTTTATGTATGTTTTAATTTTTTGTTTTAGATAAAGTAATATAATATTTTTTGGTTTTTTAAAACAAAAATAAATTAGAGATTTATAAGGGATTTAAATGATTTTTCATGGACAAGTTGTCATCACTGCTATTACTTTGTAACACCGGTTACTCAGTTTACTTATACACATCAATGCAACACTAATATTAAAGCCGCCATTATCAAAAAAAAAAAAAAAAAAAAACAAATAAACAAAAATACTTTGTGGAACACCAAAAGAATTTGAACAAAAGTTTGCAAACAATGCATTTCCCATCAGAAACATCTTGAGAGGTCCGGCCCAGATATACAAGCCGATGGGAAATGATCGGCGGCGGCGGCGCAACCATTTTGGGTCGGCGGCGGCGGCTTATTACAGAAAATTTCGGCGGCGGCTAAATTGTCGGCTCAATTTAACTTTTTCTTTAGAAATTGACCTTATAAGGTTTATTATATTGAAAAATCTTTGTATAATAGTCTGTTACATAGAAACCTGTCTCTATATAAGTTTTTTTCTGCAGAAAATGGACATTTATAGTAGTTTTCACTATTTAAATATTAGCACAATATTGTTTGGCAACTCTTTTCAATTTGCCATAAGAATTTAAAATAGTGGCAACTCCGTTCAATTTGGTGAAATTATGTTCTGAAATACATGTGTGATTCTAAGCCGGCTTAGCTTTTGAGCCGAAATAAGTCGGCGGCGGCGCGGCTTGCAAAATATTACCGGCGGCCAGCCGCCGCCGATTTGAGCCGTCTCGGCTTGTGTATACAAATCACAGATAACCAGATAAGAAACCACTGACAGCTGTCAAAAAAGTAAATTCGAACACCTCTATGAAGCAAACAAACTTTTTTTCAGAGTTGCAAAAAAGGGTACTTTTCTGTATGCACGTGGAAAACTACATAAAAAATGTAAACAAAAAGAAAACAAACCATAACATAAAATTATAAAATTATAAAATTTTGAAAAATTGCCATAAAATTTAAAATCTTATTTGAGCACCAAAACTGAAATATGTAATCGATAGGGAATCTTAAAACGAATCGATCTCTGTATTAAATATTCTTCGCGGTACTTCCTATGAGATGCTGTGATGTGACAAACTTTGTAAATTCGCAAATTTAACCCAAAAGTGTTTATGCTTAAAAAAATTAAAAATATTCCTTCAGCAACGAAACAGTCAATAGTGCTCCATGGGGAATCGATAGACTAATTGATTCCCATATCGATTTCATTTATGGGTACTTCTTATTAGTCAGTGTAACTTAACAAACTTTGACAAAGTCGCAAATTTAACAAAAATGTTTTCATACAAAAAATTTTAAAATATTCTTTGAGCAGCAAAACTATTTATAATATGTGATCGATAGGGAATCGATAGACGAACTAAACCCCATATTGATTTTTTTTCTGAGTATTTTCTATTAGCTGGTGTAACGTAACAAACTTTGACAAAGTCGCCAATTTTATGAAAAAGTTTTTGTACTAAAAAATTTTAAAATATTCCTTAAGCAGCAATACTAAAATATGTGATCGATAGGGAATCAATAGACGAATCGCACCCCATATTGATTTTTTTCTGAGTACTTGCTATAAGACGGTATAACGAAACAAACTTTGACAAATTAGCAAATTTAATGAAAAAGTTTTTATACTAAAAAATTTTAAAATATTCTTTGAGCAACAAAACTAAAATATGTGATCGATGGAGAATCAATAGACGAATCGAACCCCATATTATTTTTTTTCTGAGTACTTGCTATAAGACGCTATAAAGTAACAAACTTTGACAAAGTCGCCAATTTTATGAAAAAGTTTTTATACTAAAAAATTTTAAAATATTCTTTGAGCAGCAATACTAAAATATGTGATCGATAGGGAATCAATAGACGAACTAAACCCCATATTGATTTTTTTTCTGAGTACTTGCTATTAGCTGGTGTAACGTAACAAACTTTGACAAAGTCGCCAATTTTATGAAAAAGGTATTATACTAAAATATTTTAAATATTCTTTGAGCAGCAATACTAAAATATGTGATCGATAGGGAATCGATAGACGAATCGAACCTCATATTGATTTTTTTTCTGAGTACTTGCTATAAGACGGTGTAACATAACATACTTTGACAATTTGGCATATTTAATGAACAAATTTTTATACTAAAAAATTTTAAAATGTTCTTTGAGCAGCAAAACTATAATATGTGATCAATAGGGAATAGACAAATCGAACCATATATTGATATTTTTCCTGAGTACTTGCTATAAGACGGCGTAACGTAACAAACTTTGACAAATTAGCAAATTTTATGAAAAAGTTTTTATACTAAAAATGTTAAAATATTCTTTGAGCAGCAAAACTAATATATGTGATCGATAGAGAATCAATAAACAAATCGAATCGTATATTGAGTTTGTTTCTGTGTACTTGCTATAAGACGGTGTAACGTAACGAACTTTGACAAATTTGCTAATTTAATAAAACCGTTTTTATAATAAAAAATTTTAAAATATTCATTGATTCATTAATCAGTATTTTAGGAAAATCTTTTTTTCATAAAATGTGAACCTTTCAATGTTTGTTACGTTACACCGTCTTATGCAAGTTTTATGTACAAAAACTTTTTTTCATAAAATGTGAAATTTTGAAAGTTCATTACGTTACACTGTTTATAGCAAGTACTCAGAGAAAAATCAATAAAGGAATCAATCAATCTATCGATTTCCTATCGATCAATAATTTTACTTTTGTTGCTCAATTAATATTTACAGTTTTTTTAGCATTAAAACTGTTTTGTTGAATTTGCGAATTTGTCAAAGTTTCTTACGTTACACTGTCTTATAGCAAGTACTCAGAAAAAAAATCAATATATTATTTAGATCGTCTATTGATTCTTTATCGATCACCTATTTTAGTTTTGCTGCTCAGAGAACGTTTAAAAATGTTTATGTATAAAAACTTTTGGGTTAAATTTGCGAATTTACAAAGTCTGTTACGCCGTCTAAAAGCAAGTAAGCAATATGGTGTTCGATTGGTATATTGATTCCCTATCGGTCAAATATTTTAGTTTTGCTGCTCAAAGAATAATTTAAAATTTTTGGTATAAAAACTTTTTTATAAAATTTTCGAATTTGCCAAAGTTTGTTACGTTATATCGTCTTGTAGCAAGTACTCAGGAAAAAAATCTATATACGGTTCAATTTGTCTATTGATTCCCTATTGATCACATATTATAGTTTTGCTGCTCAAAGAACATTTTAAAATCTTTTAGTGTAAAAACTTTTTCATAAAATTCATAAAATTTGCGAATTTTTCAAAGTTTGTTACGTTATATCGTCTTGCAGCAAGTACTCAGGAAAAAAATCTATATATGGTTCGATTTGCCTATTAATTTTCTATCGATCACATATTTTAGTTTTGTTGCTCAACGAATATTTTAAAATTTTTTGGTATAAAAACTTTTTCATAAAATTTGCGAATTTTTCAAAGTTTGTTACGTTATATTGTCTTGTAGCAAGTACTCAGGAAAACAGTCTATA